GCCTGGTGACTTCGCTAATGAGGTTACTTCCTTCATTTAGTTCCAACTACAGGCAACTTCATAGATGAGGATGTTAAAACCAGAATCGAGAAGGCGAACCAGATCTTCATTACTCTGTGAAATCGATTTGGAAAAGTAATGCACTCTACAGCACAAAGAACAAGATTCAGATTTTCAACACAAATGTTAAGTCAGTCATTTCTTCAATATCGATCAGAAACTTGGCCAGCTCATCACGAAGAGCACTACGAACAGACTGATTCAGACTTTTATCAACAGCTGCCTTCGCTGGCTCTACAGTGAAGATCAGATGACCTCTCAGAAAATGATAGCGACAAGACATTCTAGCAGGCAACGAACTAATCAAGAGCCTATTGTCCAGCAAATATGCCGCAGAAAATAAAGATAGATCGGATACAGACTGGCAGGCTGTTAGGTGACATAGCGCATCAGACCACCATTCGAGTGGAACCTGAAAGGGAAATGACGAGCTAAGCATGGCACTCAGGGTGATTTGGTGGAGATCGTGTGAGGTGGAGATGAAGTCTTATGCTAAATCTAAGGGCCAGCTAAAGACAACTGAAGATAATACGACGAAGTGGATATGTGCTGTCGAAGCCAGCTGTTCCACTCAGAACCCAAGGGAACAATAATAATACATTTACTAGAGACTGGCTACAGAAAAAAGCTGTCTAAACTGTCTAGTGTGAAGTTGTGACCAGTGGAGTTCACCGGGTCTGGTGTGGGGTCAAACACTCACTGAAGACTTTGGCTAGTGGTCGCGGTAAAATCACGAATTGATAGAAGTTAGAATTCATGAGCATTTGGATCGGATCACATTGACTGAATCGTTTACGAGATTGTCTTATGCAATTCATTACACTTAGTGCCTACACTCAGTCCTGTGTATAGAAGACAAATGAACAAAGAAGGAATTCAATATCCAAACCATCATTCTTGGAAAATTTGCCGTATGTGTACCACCGTAAATCATTTCATTGTGATATGCTGATAAGAGAGGATAAATTAATATACAAAGGCACAGTGGTTAGGACTCTCGCCGACCATGCCCATGGTCCGGGGTTCGATCCCCTGCCGGCGCACACCCGATATCTGTGGTCGGCCTGTAAATTTTGGCTACCGATATCCATGCTGAAAATTCCATACTTGTACTGAAAATACGGTGTGGAATCAAGCTGTAATCAAAATAAAATAAAAAAAAATAAAATTACGAAATATTGTTTTCGCACTATGCCATGAATTGGAAGAAGTTAGAATTAATGGGCAGGCCATTGGACCGGGTCAGGTCCCAGTGTCTCCTGGATGGTCTACGAGATCACCTAGTAACCAGGAGGTCCTGGGTTCGGACCTTGGCAGTGGATGCGTACTGTTGAACAGTCCGAAAGTCGGACGAAACGGCTATCCAGTGCTCTCAGGTTTTTCCAATGGTTCTCTGGCTGATGTCAGCTCATGATGAAACCTCTCATTGCTGCGGGATTCCATCGAATCAGTAGCCTTCTATCTCAGTTTTTGAGTGTTAGGCTGGTAACCCCGAAGTTCCTTGTGCGAAACTTAACATTACCTATAAACATCTGTTAAATGATAAGCTTAAGTTGTGCAAAACATACCAGTTTCATTTTCCCTGCACGACTCTTGTGATATTATATCACTTACTAGATATGTTTGTCAAATCTGTTACACTTATATTAGACGCTACACTTTCATTTTATAATTCGTTAACGAATACTGAAGGCGAATATTCCTATCGTTGTCTTTTAGAAGCATTAGTTCTCTGAATTTCTAGTTTTATTTTCGAATTAGTTATCTACAAACAATAGATAATCGTCTTTTAGTACACAGAAAGAATTAACATATTTACAGGATAATACGAGCTCATTTTATTTCGTGGATTCCTTGTAAGGTATAATTAAACAAGAAAGGGGTAGAGTTTAGATTTGGCTTGGAAACAAGGATGGACTAGAGACTAAATACAAGTTCGAACAAAAGAGTTAATTTATGCGCATATTATGATAGAGAGTTCAAGGAGATGGGAGTGAACAGGTAAGTAAGACGATAACAGACAAAAAAATTATGTAAATTTGGAAACTTAACCTAATAGTGAGTTCAGCACAGTAAATGAAAATCAGAACTGAGTGGAATGTTACACAAAAGAAAAAAACCTAAAAGTACACGAACAAAACAATCACAGTTACCAGAGTAGCAAGAGACTAATTAGTCAGTCTATCTTTCTGTATACAGAAGTTGAGTGGAAGTCGTTTAATAGCAATGGCTTCTGTGAACCAAAGTAACTACAGTTTCAGGATTTTCATCATGAGCTGACATTAGTTAGAGAACCACTGGAAAACCTGGGAGTACTGAACAGCTGTTTCGTCCTAGTTTGGGACTCTTTAGAAGTACGCACCCTCCACCGGGGTTCAAACCCAGGACCTCCTGGTCACAAGGCCTGCGAGCTCGTATACCATTAAGCCACTGGGACCCGACCCAATGGCCCATGAATTCTAACCTCTGCCAATTCACGACGTAGCGCGACCCCTAGCCAATGTCTTCGGCGAGTATTTGTCCTCACACCTGACCTGCTGCACCCTACTGGTCACGACTTCTCACTAGAACCCCAGGTAACTACCTAGTGAGCTAGTGAGTATCTCATTGGTATTCAAGTGTTGGTTTGTGGGGATTTGATTGGTTACAGGATTTTCATCATGAACTGACACCGTTCTCTAACTAATGTCAGCTCATGATGAAAATCCTGTAACCAATCAATCAAATCCCTACAAACCAACACTCGAATAACCACAGTTTTCTATGTAAATTGATTATTTGGAAAGCCAGGCTAATTTTCTCTGTATGTCCTGCATCAGTTGGGTATCTGGTAAATACACTTGAGAACCCTTTATTGCCTTGCATATGGAAACTTTCAGGGGGTATACTTAGAATACCTAGTATAGACGCTGTCTTCTCACTGCTTCTTATGTACTTGCTGTCACAAATGCAAGTCACTTGGTAAATGCAGTTAAAGCTGACATGCACAGGATACTTATCTCTGTTGTTCGATCTTGTATTTTGTCTCCAGTCAATCCTTGTTTCCAAGCCAAATGTGAAATTTACCCAACTTTCATCGAATTATAATATTAGTCCTTTAACACTGAATAATTTGTCTACTTATATCATTCTTGGAATTATGTTGCTTGTACTTTCTACTTACAACTCAAACTCACTGTGAGAAAGTATGTTCAGAAGTTTTGAAACTTATAATTTGGTTTTTTGTTTAAAAATATACACTGTTGAAAAAAATCCACAAAATAAAACAACCCTCCTATTATCCTGTAAATATGTCAGTCTTTTCTTTGCTCAAACTAATAAAGCAGAACCGTTTGTTTGTATAGAAAATTATCCACTGATTCTCAAAACTATATAACGACTGACTGTAGTATTAAAGCAGAAGGTTTATGAAACTGTTTTGCAATTCCATAGATAACATCAAGTTAAATAACTACAAAACTGTGGGAGAGTAGAAAACAAATTATTGAATGTTCAATGTATGGGTAGTCTGGAACAAACAAGGCTGAAATCCGCAATCAGTCAGACCAACTTCTATACCAGGTATGTCGACGACACTTTCGTTATTTTGATGATGCATCTCAAGTACTAAAAGTCTTGAATAGCGCCCATCCTAATATTAAGTTTACAATGGAGCATGAAAAAGAGGAGAAGTTCCATTTTCTTGACCTGGGTATCCAACGAGATATAGACGGCAAAATCATAAGATATGTAGACAGAAAAGAGACCTGGAGGGCGGTTTATCTTAACTTCAAAAGTTTCTGCCCTATAAGTTACAAAAAAGGATTGGTGAGAACATTATTTGATCGTGTAAGGAAGCTGTGTTCAGAAGAAAACATTGAGGAAGAGCTATCCATTGTGGAGAAATGCCTACGCGACAACGGTTACCCACAAAAGTTCATTGACAAGTATGGGAGACGTCATGTTGAAAAAGTAAAAATCAGCACAGTATAGAAAAAGGCTATCTTTCTGCAGCTTGCATTCAAAGGTGATGATACTGCCAGTAGAATAAGATGCAGACTGAACGCTGCCCTGAAAAGAACATATCCAGCCGCCAAGCTTGTATGTGTTTATCAAACAGCTAGTTGTTTGAGACAATCAGAAGTGGACAAATACCCACCTCATGTTACCTCCAACTGTGTCTACCAATTTACATGAACGTGCCAAAGCACATACATCGGAAGAACAGAGAGAAGGGTTATTGTCCGCATTTCTGAACACATACCAAAGAACCTGAGACTGAAATGTCCACAAGTATTAAACAGTGCAATTGCGCGTCATCTATTAGACACTAGTCATAATGTAGACAACTTGAAGTCATTCAAAATAATCAACAAGCAAAAGAAACCTAACTTGCTACACTTTGCTGAAGCAATTGCTATCAGACGACTGAAACCAAATCTCTGTACGCAGAAAGAGACAGTGGTGAATCTTGCACTGCCATGGTGACAACAAAAATTATACAACAGCTTGTTTTCGTTTCCAAGCCTAATTGTTCTATAAATATTTATAAACTGTCAAATATTGATCATAGTTCATTTGAATTATTCTATAAATAGTCAGTGTTTGTAACTCTTAATTAGTTAAATCATTCCGGATTAATGTTACTTTTACTTCCTACCAATTACTCCTTGTGATCGTGGAAAATTATGTTCAAATCTTTAATGTAACGTTATTCATATTTTTCATCGTTCAGGTTGTAACCAGTTGAGAAGAATCCTCGAAATAATAAAAGATGAGCTCATATTATCCTGGTACAATTGTTGTTCTTGCTTTATTCAAGTTTATTAATGGGAAGAATTGCATGAAGTTTTTAAAATCATTTGTTTTAATAACTTTCTAAGAAAGAAAAACAACACTGCCGTTTTTTATTGAGATTATTACAAGAGAAGAAGAAGAAGAGGAAAAAGCGCATGACTCACCAGAAAATGTTATCAATCCTTTGCCTTCTACCGGAGTCCATCTAAGATATGTATTTGAAATGTTTGGTGATTCTAAACATAAGAATAAGATAAATGCAATCACATAGCCAATTGTTTGTCCGACAACATTACATGTAGATGCCCAGCCTAAATTCTTTCTGTAAGCGATAAAAAGTAAAGCAAAGAGAAGGAAAGACGATTGGCATTAAAAATTATTACAAAATATGACATCTGTATAGGTATCATATAAAAAATGTGAATAAATTATGCATCGTTGAAAGGAAAACATTTCAGAATGTGAATTATTTTACCGTCTACAATATCAGCTACAAAAATATTAAAATAAACAGTTGTTTTGTCATACTTCACAATTCCTCACCAGAAGTTGTCAAAGATGAAATTCCGATAGGCATTTGGAATTATAACGTTAAGGACATGTAAGAGTTAGACTTGACTTAACTTAGACCTAAATTAATCACTCTTACAAAAAACTTCTTCACCGCTTTATGACCTCAGTTATACTCTGCCTAAGGTGCAAATACTAACGAACTGAATCAAGGTAAAAAGACTTGAGATGACTAGCGTGACTGGAACAGAGTTCTATTTACACAAAAGCGATATGAGATTTGATAAAAATAAGAGGTTATGACTTATTTGCAGTCGAGACGGTGGTAAGCTCGGAGAGTGTGCCGGATGAAAGCACAACGAGAGAGCGAAACCAAAACCGTACGGGAGATTCACGAATCGAAAGAAGAAGTGGTACCAATGGTCAGGTGAGTCCGTTAAAACAAAAGTTCGAAGATTCAATGTACACTACAGACACATAAGTCAGGAAACAGAAATCCTTCTTCGTAACACCACTTCAAACCTACACAGTTATTTAGCATGTTTGTATATGCGACGTAGATTGACGACACAAGTCAAAGTTCACCATCAATTAGTAGGAAATTAAGTCGATGTGTATGGGTAATAACTAAGTTTGGAAAGCTGAAAATAATCTCACATAATCAAGAGAGTTGACAAATAATTAGTGAACTGATGAACAATCAATGATATCAATCCGTGATCAGCTTGTAAAAACAAATCTAACCCTTACGAACCAAACTATTAAAAAATTCATCTGATGCTCGCTAGTGACTTGCTACAGGACAGAGTTTCCTGGAGTTCTAGTGAGAAGTCGCGATCAGTGAGGTCCGTCCAGTCAAGTGTTAAGATGGAGTTCCCACCGGTGATGACATTGGTTGGTGGTCGCGCTAAATCACGAATTCGTGGAAGTTAGGATTCATGGGCTTGTCATTGAATCGGGTCAGATCCTAGTGGCTGAATGGCATACGAGCTTGCCTTGTAACCGGTAGGTTCTGGGTTCGACCATTGGTGCTGGGTGCGTACTACTAATGTTTCCCGAACTAGGATGAAACAGCAGCTGTTCAGTACTCCCTGCAGGTTTCCAATTGTCGTCTAACTGATATCAATCCGTGATCAACTCGTAAAAACCAAATCCTTGGAAAGGATACTGTCCTAAAGTGGCTTCTAAGGCTCAATCCTGGTAAGTCCAGTGGCCCTGATGAACTCCACCAACGTATATTAACAATATTGGCTGAAAACATAGCCGAGCCATTGTCGGTAATCTTCAATATGTCTCTGGACCAGTCTAAATGTCCAAGAGACTGACTGGAAAGATGCCATCATTAGTCCGGTCTTCAAAACCGGATCTAGAAACTTAGTTCAGAACTATCGTCCTGTTAGTTTGACCAGTATTGTTGTTAAACTACTAGAAAGAATAATTCGTGATGCTATCATTCACTTCATTGAAGGGAACAAACTTTTCGCTGTGGAACAAAATGGTTTTAGAGCAGGTTATGCTTGCTTGACCGACCTTCTTTTGGCCAGAGAAAGTTGGGCAAGCTCAGCTGATGCTAATATACCGGTGGATGCCATATTCATCGACCTTAGCAAGGCGTTTGACAGGGTTTCTCATTCAGGTCTTCTAGTAAAGTTAGGTAGTATGGGAATCAGTAAAGTGGTTGCCGACTGGACTCAAGACTTTCTAAAGGACAGAAGACAAAGAGTACGAGTTAACGGGGTTTTAACAACATGGGAATCGGTTAAGAGTGGCGTTCCTCAGGGTACAATTCTAGGCCCACTTCTTTTCCTGATTTATGTTAATGAGACTCCATCGGTAGTTAGGTCAGCCTGCTTACTGTTTGCTGATGACATCAAGATATGGAGGGCTTTACACGATGACAGTGATCAACTTGCTTTGCAGGAAGATTTAAACTTGTTAAGTGATTGGTGTAAGCACTGGGCCTTGGAGATTAACTTAAGCAAGAGTGCATGTATCTCATGTATCTCATAGTCACGTGCACAATTACTCAATGAATGGCATTACTCTTCCAGTGGTCACTGAGTACAAGGACTTGGGAGTGGTTGTGCAGCATGACTTGAAAACAGCAACAAACTGTAGAGCTGCAGCCACTAAGGGTTTTCGAATATTATGGGCCATACGCAAGGCTTTTGCGAATTTTGACGCTGAAATATTTCGTATATTATATCCGAATTATATCAGACCTCATTTGGAATATGGGATCCAGGCAGCGAGCCCGTGTTCGAAATACGAAATAGACTTATTAGAAAGGGTACAAAGAGTTGGAACTAAGCTAATACAGGGTTTCTGAACACTCTCATATGAGGAGAGGTTAAGTCGATTGGGTTTATTTCCACTGTCATACAGACGACTTAGGGGTGACCTAATACTAGCATACCGTATCCTAAGAAATGATTTTGGAGCTAATTTATCTAATTTATTTCTTCCTTCTAGCACCAACCAATTGCGAGGACGTCACCTCAAGGTTCAAAAACCACGGTCGAATCGTCTACGTCTAGAGATTCGTTTTTCGCATGGAATTGTGAACCATTGGAACTCCCTACCGGAACACGTCGTATCAGCGCCATCCGTTGATTCATTCAAGGCGAGAATGGGCCTCCTGTGTGTAACAAATCGAAAGGATTAACACAGGCATATAGCCTACTATCCTAAATAAATTTTAAACTGTAAACTCTAAGCTATTGATGAGTACTCGTTTGTAAATAGTTGATGAGGAACAAGAGAGGACGAAGGATTGAAACTGAGTCGCAAAATCTATGGAAGTAATGAAAGGTGGACTACATGGAGCTCATAACAGAGTTATTCAAGAAAAAAAAACAGGAAAAGTAGAGAAAAGTGTTATGCAAACTTGGATATTATTGCCGTTATGTTGACCACACATTCACCATTTGTGACAATAATTTGGGTAAACAACTTCTGATGCATTTGTGCATCCTAAAATTAAATTCACTTGCGAAGAAGAAGAATATCAAGTAAGCATACCCTTTTCGAATGTTTTTTCTTAGAGCAAAAGGCCGACCGGCATATTAAAGCGAAATATCTACAAAAAAGCGACATGGTGGAACGGACATTATATCCATTTCCATAGTTTCATACCCGTACAATTTAAATGGAACTTGATTTGTTGTCTTAGTTATAGAATTAGGCGCATATGTAGTAAAGATTTTATTGTAGATGAAATCGAAAATCTTAAAAACCCCTTGCTACAAAATGTTTATCCTACCAATTTTTTGTAAAGAAATATGTTCCAAAAGTACTGACAAAGTTAAGGGTGACATGGGGAATAAGAAAAAGACTTATTTGAGAGTACAGTTCAAGGGTGATATATGCAGTGACATATCAGTTGAAAGAACTTTCAGTGCTACAGAACTGCATATCAGTTTCTCAATCAGATCAAACTGACACAGTACATCAAAGATAAATTACCAAAGATGGCCACATCAATGTGTTTATACAAGTTCAACTGACTATGTGGAGCTAGTTGGATAGGTCGAACTCAGAGGAATTTATCTCTACGCGCTTATCATCACGCTCCTGTTTGGCTTGGAAAAAGTCAATAAATAGTAAAATTCTGTCTCATATAGTAGATATTGAACACACCACATCAAATAGACGGGTCATTCACAGTTGTATATCGAGTACCAAACAATTTTTAAATTTTGAATTTTGATTACAGCTTGATTCCACACCGTATTTTTGGTACAGGTATGGAATTTTCAGCGTGTGATATCGATAGCCCAAATTTTGCAGGCCGACCATAGATATCAGGTGTGGGTCGGCGGGAGATTGAACCCTGGATCATGTGCATGATCGGCAAGAGTCATAACCACTGTGCCACCGACGCATCTGCTAAAGACACTCGATTACGTCTCTTAGCTATAATGGAAGCTATAGAGATTAATAAGAAAAAACCTGACCTGTGTGTGCAAAAAAGAGCACATTTATCCTCTGTCCTCGCACATCACTGAATGTAACTCAACCCCTTCCTCCTCAATGAAACTTACATTCAGTTGAATATAAAAACATTAGTATGCCATCCATTTGTCCATTCACACTTTATCTTATGTTCTAAATGACTGCACTTTTTATAACTTTCATTTGCCAATATTAAATACCGAAGTATCACTCCATATTATGCACGTACCCCAATACAGCTTCGCATATAATTTTCACATACCTTTATTGGTCATTTGTATTGTAGTATTCAGGGATTTATAACTATAGTAGAGCCTGAGGAAGAATTTATAGAAAAATAGAATTAATCCTAAGGCCTTGTTTGTGAATCAGGCTGGATAAAAAGTTTCTGAACACAAAGTTCAGGTTTCTCCTCATGGAGTGATAAGGATTTGGCTGCATGAAGAAGATCTGGGTGAAATCATTTCAAACGACTTGGTGGTACTTTATAGATGACTTTGAATGGCATCTGTACTGATTCTGCATGACCAGAGGTAATAGTATGCTCGAGAATTAGGCTGTTGGCTGTTCTACTTTTTCTACTTTCTTTGCTGCATCCCTACTTCTTACTGTCTTCATACATGTTCTTGTTCATCAAAACGTCAAGGACAAGGTCTAGCTGTTAGCAACTTCAATGTGCATTTACCAATTAACCTGCTGCTATGAAGCTAAGTACATAAGCGATACCAGGAGGACACTGTCTTGACTTGCCCATGAACACTTATCAGGATGGCTATCAAAAGGAGGAGGTAGAACAGTCTACAGTTCCCTTTTCGAGGGTATGATTAATTCTGGTCATTCAGAATCAGGAAAGACTTC